AAGTTGCGAAGACTTGCGGTCGCCCAAAGGCATATCCTGTAGTACGCGTCGGATTCGCTCTTTGTTAGAGCTTCCCGTGCGTTCTAATATGGCGTCCCGTAGGGCTTCGGACGGTCCATCTTTGAGAGGCTCTAAGCCAAGACATCGGCTTCTAGGTGTTCTGGCAGCGAGGAAGCAACGTGAGGGAACTTGGTCTTTGAAGGGTTATTGTACCTAGTCACACACTGCTGTTCCAGAACGGCAAACTTCACCCTAGGGTTGGATGCCCAAAAGGGAGGGGTTGGAATGTGGCGGCCACCACGGGAGAAGGCTCGTCTGATAAATCTAAAATATCCTTGACGAAAATAAGAACAATGAACAATCATGCATGAAAGATGCAATCCGCAAATAACTCTGTCAAAAAATAAAGAGTTCAAATAGCGATAAAAATAAAGTGAAATACCAAAACATAATCGCTGAAATTTTCTAAAAGAATACAAAATGGCTCAACAATTCCAAAGATATGAAACGGACTCACCAAAATCCGATGATTTCCAAAATGAACGCTGGCAATTGTATGGGGGCTCACCAATGTATTGACTCGATGGTTGCTGCTGTTCATCAGAACCTGTCACTGATGTTTGCTCACGTTCTTTTTGAATATCCGTCCAAAAAGGTAGCAGAAACAGAGATTGGGTTTGAAGAAAACAATATATTCTGAATCTTCCGAAACGTTGGCAGTAGGTTTGGCTAGGCCTAGGCTGTCATTTAAGCGAATGCAGCGGAAACCTTAAAGTAGATCTGATCAATGCAACGAAAGCGTGCGATACAGAGCGCACCGAGGGGAATTGTGTTGGTCCATGCTTTTCGAGCTCATTAACAGAACGATAATAGTAGAAGCGGAACTAAATCCTGAAAATGTCCAAGTTGGTATATCTAATTAAGAAACTTTTCCTGGAAGATAGCAATCGCCAAATTTTCGTTTGCGATATATATGTATTAGCTCGGGGTATCGATAAGCCAGTGTCTCCCTGCCATATCAACTTGAACTATTTTTGAAAGTTGATTGCAATTGTTTCTGTGACAACCAAAGAAGCGATCCAGTTTTTCGAACTAATAATAATAGTTATAATAATTATTATTATATATTTCACGAAGCCCTATGAGGCATGCAACAGCATGATCATATGTACAGCACATTCATGTGTGCAAGACGAGCACAAAAATAAGAATTGATAGTCGAGGTGCATTGGTGCATAGAAGGTAGGGAGTAATGAAAAGAGCTTAGCTGGATTGAACGTTGCAATACAAATTGAACCCAAGGCGGACAAGGTCACTGAGGAAAATGTTGATGTATGGCAAGACCGAAACCATCAGCTCACCGAGAACCTATAACTACTATTTTTGTTATGCCCCCTGCCCAACATTTGACTTGCCACTGCTATCATGTTTATTGCTAACACGTGTGCATACAAAAAACTGTGACACAATATATTATCTCTATTTCAGACCGTTCTGCTGTTAATATTATTACGGACAAGGAGAACTCCGTGAACTCGTAACTCACGCAAACTGTAAATCCCAGTTTGGCTATTATTATTATATTGTTACCTTGTATTGTGTTACCAATTGAATTATACTGCCTCAAGACGTCTTCTGTCTTCACGCTACAAATGGCGTCGCGGGCAGAATCGACCAAGAAGACGTGAAGTCACAAACTAGCGCCACGACGGACGTCAGCGAAATGATTAGCCAATTTTTGCCGAAACTTATCACCGGTAACTTGTTGCGATTGAAGACAGTTTCACCCCTCCCGCCATCCGAAAATTTCACTTTCGGCCGAAATTATGCTTCTTGGGAAGTATAGTTGCGTGCTTACATGCAGAATTTTCCCGAGTCGGAAAGGAAAGTGGCAATTTTAGGCCTGTTGGCCGGTGAAGCGGCCGATAGGGCCTTTCAGTCGAGTGCATTCGAGGAGGAAGATCTTGATGGGGTTTTTCGAAAACTGCGACGCCTCCTTGACACTCCACTCCACCCAACCGAGTACAAGTCAAAGTTCCACTGGGTACGCCGGAATATCGGGGAAACCGTAGAGGCATACGCGTATCGCGTCAAGCAACTGGTGTCCAAGGTTTTTCCCGACGACCGCAGCGAAGCCCAGGAAAAACATGCTGTTTAACGTTTTGTAGAAGGAGTCAGTGAAGAAAGCGCTGATTAAAAATCGCTCAAAAGCCTCAGTGAAGCTGTTGCTCTGGCAGGAGAAACGGAGAGGTTACAGCGAGGTGTTCATGAAGCAGAGAGCCTCTGCGTCGCCGTGCATCACCAACGACGTCAGCAGCGAGAACCAATCCAGAGACCGTGGGGGCCAAGGCCTCATCAAGAACCGACCAGCGGTAGATACC